TTGTATCCTGCAGAAATTATGCATGCCTGATGAGTGTTTTGTGCTTCCCCTCAGCGCTTAGATCATTTGGCTGATCCATCTTCTGTTGTGAAGTGGTGCCAGTGAGGAGAGGTCTCTAAAGGCGTTTTGCATTAGTGAAGTGCAGCGTACTAATGCATTTTCCTCAGCCAACCTTGCGCTTTGCATTTTTGTTTTAAAATGCAAACCACATGTAATGTTGCATGCATGAATTGCTTTCCGCTGCCCAGAGCTCCAGGTTTGTTCTTAGTTTGTTCTTGAACTTTTAATAATAGTGAAAATAAAGGGAGGGTCTATTTGCATTGTTTATAGTAGGAAAGAACAGTACAAGATTTCATCTACTGCTGTTCAAATCCCTTGCTATTTTTGGTATTTGACCTCTGCAGAGAAGATTGCCAAAACTACAGGTTGTTTTCATTTTTATTACGCGTTTCTACCCTCCTACTCTTAAGTTACTCTTACGTTACTGATTAAATCTTTGAGGTAAAGTTCCATTTCTCCCACATTTTCCGCGGTATTTTTCAGAGAGGTAATTTTATGTTTCTATATGTTGTTGAGCTAACATTCCCATTTGGAAATGAGAACTATGCAATTTGGCAGCGTCTTGTTTACACCACTAAAAGGAGAAGGAAAATAGCTTACAAATTGCTGGTTTATTTTTTGAAAAACTTTCTGGATTAAAGAGGACTCATAAGCCTGGTGGCTGGAGTTGAGACTGCAATGTTTAGAATAGTGCATAAAGAGCACAGCAGTGTATGCTGAGACAATATGAAATGTTTAGTTTGTGTGGATAGGTGCTTACCTTTCATTTCTCTGTCAGTGGAAAGGCCTGCTTTCGGCACCCCTGGCTGTTTGCTTCTGGTTGTGCTGTATGGTTGCTTCCACACTCCACTAGTGAGCAGCACGTAACAAAGGCCTCTGAAAATCCTGTCCTTCCTCTTTGGCATCCCTTCCGCTTCGTGCCTTCTGTTCTAAAAATCAAGCTTATTTCTTTTTTAAAGGAGCCTTGTAGGATGCCTTGGAGGTCAAAATGTTTTAGGTTATTTCAGAGGACTGTATTTATTCTGAGTTCCCAGGATACAATGAGTTTTGAGTGTCCTTCAGGAACCTGCTTGTTTCTGGTAGTTGTGATATCCAGATGTGCAGGGGTAGCATATAACTGTGAAGTTAATTCATAGAAGAGATCACATGGATGTAGTTCCAGAGGACTAGATACAATAACACAGAGGTTTCAGGATTGATTTGTAAAAGATGGCTTTACCTTGTTCAGGGGGTGCAGATGTGAATGCAGCTGTTACACGCGAGGAATGGTGGTTGCTGACGATGGGACTGGCCTTCTCTTTCAAACCCAAGTGGCCAGCCGTAGCCAGACACCTTCAGCCAGATACTCGTGTGTCATCCAAGCAGTGGTGTCTTCCTGGCACCTTCGTATCACCTGGATTTTGTCTGTGTTGAGACTGTAGATCCAGACCATGGGCCACTGTGAGTTGGAATAAGTGAAGAGCCTGAATTTAATTAGCTACCTCCTTTGCTCAGAACGTGAGGTACCTTGGGGAAAGAAGAGGTTTTGGCCAGTGCTCTCTGATTTCTTCTGAGACTGGAGCAGTTCAAGAGCAAGGCCCTACCAAGTCTGTGTGTCAGACAGTTGGTCACATTAGCATGAGCTGTTTTACTCCTTGATCGTCTCAACTGGCTGTCGTGCTATATCTGAATTGTGTCAGGTTTCAAAGATGCCAACTTTGCCAGTGGGTTCTTTGTGGCAGAAACAAAACAGATACCTGTGTTGTTGAAGTTAAGGAGTGCTAAACTGAAAGTGCGTCACTTCTGTGGTGCAGAGCACCATGTGCTTTGTAGGTGGCTGCAGTCCAATGCTTAGTTATCTTCTATTGTGTTTGGAAGACCATTGTTTCCTATTTGTCTCATAAATTTAACACAGATCCTATTCCTGCCATTTAAACTTTCCCATCAAAATACAACAGTGACTTCCCCTTCAGAAAAGGAAGGGCTGGCCGCTACACCCTGAAGTTTGAGCATGAATTGTTTATATAACCTTCAATCACAATTTCATAATAGTTGCAAGACTTTCTTACTAGGGCAGACATTTTACTGAGGTTTTTAGCAAAAACCTGGCTGCCATCAAATGCAATTTTAAGGCTTCTTAGTTGTTGCAGTGGAAATAGAATTGAAAACTGTACCCTCCAGCTTCCTGATGATACAAATTGCACATCTGTCTAGAAACACGAACGGCATTTTCTGGTATTACAGAATAGCTGTACCTATGTCATTTGGAGGTAAAAGCTTAAAAGCTGTGTTGGGCTAATTTTATTTCCCAGAAAATATTATTAAATCTGAATGAACAGGCTTTTGCAGACTCTGGCTTTTTACAACATCTGGGTACTTGTAGAGTTCCCTCGCATTCCCCTCCCCAGCAGTGAAAGCTCTGACATGAGTGTTGTAGAAACTGCTCGTTGAATATTATTCTCTATCAAAATCAGTAATATTTAAACAACTGCAGCTTGCTTTCCAAATGGATGACATTTGTCAGGAACATGTCTGTTTGAGTTTACTTGGCCTTTGGAGTATAAAAAGTCTGACTATTTAGAGCTTGAAATTGAGGTCAGTCTGGAAAACTACATTTTTTCTTACAAAAAGTTTACACAGAGAACCCAATTTTTTTAGTAACCATAGCACTACAGGATAGCGGGTTTATGAAAACTCCTTTCTCCACCTGCAATCATGTAGTTTTGAAATGGCATTTAAGTAGAAGCTTCTATTGTAAGTCTTCAGTAATTTGGATTAAGTAAAAGTTGTCCTTACTAATAATATTAAAGTATTTTATTTCTTAAATCTAAATTATTCATTTGCATGGAAGTTTAATACTTTTGTGTTTGAACAGTGTAACGAGCAGTGTTTGAGAACAGTTTGCTTTATGTAATAGTTCTAGTAAAGCCTTGTTCCATTTGAGGACATACCCAGAAAAGTAAGTAAGGAGCAAGCTCTGTGGGTAGAGTTGTACGCCAGCTAATGCCAGAAAACATGTTGAACTACTTCTCTTCAGAGGGGAAAGGAGTTTCCACAGGATGTCTGCGTTTTATGGCAAAAGTTACTTGTAGATGTGCTCTGAAAGGTTGCTTTGATGTAGAAGATTAACCTGGGGACCTCATTGTCAGGATATTACTGAGGCAAATAGCTTAGTGAGATTATTTGTGACTTGGGAATTAAGCTTTTATGAGTGTGCCTACTTAAGCTGGTTTTTAAGAATTTGCTCGTTTGTCACATGGCATCATGAATATTTGTATATGCCAAATAGGAGGGGGAAAAGCAAAACCCTGAAACTACAAACACCACCAAGAAGAGAGAAAAGCAGAATGAAGTTTTGTCATAGCAACTTTTTCTTTGTCGCTGGTCTCTTATGGTCCGTTAAAATAATTACCCTAAAACAAGTAATACATGGAAGCCTGCTAATTCCATCCCTAAAAATCCAGCCTGAAGAATTTGCAGAAAAATTTATGGTGGGACAGCTGGGAAGGCATGAGAATATTTTCTTGCATTCTGGGTCTGCCTGATTTTTACTCCATTTCTGTTTGGATTTTTTTCAAAAAGGGTCCTCCCTGCATGTGGTAACTAGGATTGGGTGCTGGCTTAGTCCTTAAGGAAAGGAGGAGAAGTTTGAGTACTGCGCTTTACCTTGATTTGCATTACCTGCAATATCTCTACCAGTGAGAAGTCACTGGAGTGTTGCACCCCTAGAACCTGCTGGGATTCCCTCAATGTTTGTTTTTTTAACACAGAAGAGTAGTCCAATTGAACCTGTAATTTTAACATAAGTCATTCATGGGGACGGTAATACTTACTTAGCATACGCCACCAACATCTTTCTTTAAAAAGTGGTTGCAGTTTGTGAACTCACTAAAACCACGAATTGTTTGTGATGGCAAATACCTCTCTTATATTTCATATATCATTTAAATGCTTCAGTATTTTTTCTGACTCTAAATCAATGAAAGCCTTCACTGCAATTACAGAATTGAATTTTCCTTTGTGAAAGGAGAACTCAAGTCCTTTTTTTTTTTATATAGAAGTGAATCTATACATGAGAGAATTGAGTGAATATTGTTTAATTTTTGTTTTGCTTGGTAAAATTTGTATTTGTGTACCTCACTGAAATAGTATGTGTTTCTAGGAGGGTTCAGTAGTGCCAGAGAAGAATTGCCTCTGAAGGGAAGATTTTTATCAGTTGCACTAAGAGCCAGCATTATGTGGTTTTTATAGGAGGCTCAAAAACCATTTAGGTTCTTAGGAGAATTGATGAAAAAGCCAAAGGTGCTGAATTCCAATGATGTCATGTAGCCTGTTTAGGTGGTCTGTGGTATGCAGACAGGTGTTTATGTGCATCATTGGGCACCTAAATACTTGTAAAATTTATCTCATCTGGCTGTTTCAGGCTGTAGTTCTACATAATTCTGGTCTTGTCCTCTGCCTACCCTTTGCACGTCCCCCAGCAGTAAAGTTCACCTAAGAAGTCTCCTGCAGTTTTACTGATGCAACCGTTTGTGGGCTGTGCCTCCTAGCAGCTCGTTCGAACAAAAATTATTCCTCCTTAGGTAGTGGTGATGACTTCATTTTCCTCCCACTTGTGGAGAACGTCACTTTACTATTTACTTTATAAAAATAATAAAGCATATTTAGCTAAGTGACTTTCACAGGATTCACAGACAGACTATTTAATCTTTTAAGGGGATTATATGATGTAGTGCTGACAGTCACAAGGGACTGAACTCCTTAACTCGGGAAGCCTTTTCCGGTTCTCTGTTTCTGTAAAAGAAGTTGTAGTGGGTAGGGCAGCAGCATAATTGAATTTTGGCTTCATGCAGTACCTCTGTGCAAGGTGCTTTTTCATATATATTTTTAGAGCTAATATTATTTCAGAATGCTACAATTAAAACTCACCTTGGATTTTATTTATTACAGGTTTCTGACAACGTTAGGAGCAGCATTTGAGATGACTGCAGTGGAGAAGATTGAGGAGCAGCTTGCTAGTCTGCGCATAGCAAAACGTTCTACGCTAAGTGAGGAACCTGCTTACTTACTGGATATAGACGTCTCCAAACCTGCTCAATCTGAAAGCAGTCGCTTTGTGGCAGTTTCGTGTTCCAATAAGTCAATTAGGGTTTATAACAGGGAAACATTAAACTTCCTGCGGGAGTACAGTAGCCATCCTGGGATACTTAATGGAGTCAGATTTTCACACACATGTGACAGCATAGTGTTTTCAGCATGCAGTGACGGTACAGTAAAATGTTGGGATATTCGTTTAGCAACTCAGAAAGCTGTGCAGATATTTAGTGGCTATCCTTCGAACGTTTTCATCAGTTTTGATGTCAGCTGCAGTGATCTCATCATTTGTGCTGGAACAGAAAAAGTTGAAAACGACACATTTCTGGTGTTTTGGGATGCAAGAGGCATTACAAACTGTGCCAGCGCAGCTAAGGAACCCTTGGGAGTCTATTCTGAAAGTCACAATGATGATATCACTAAAATTTGTTTTCATCCCATTGAACCCAGTTTGGTAGTTTCTGGGTCAACTGATGGGTTGGTTAACGTGTTTGACATTAACAAGGATAATGAAGACGATGCTTTAATATCAACTTGCAATTCAGATTCATCAGTAAGTTTTATTGGCTGGTCTGGGAAAGACTATAAACAGGTCTACTGCATGACCCACGATGAGGGATTTTGTTGGTGGGACATGGCTCAGTTAGATACCGAAGACCCAATAACACTATTGCATGTTCTGGATGTCAGAGACGCAGTCTGCGTTGAAAACGACAGCTTGCGTTACCTGGTAGGTGGCTTGTACCACGAAAAGGCGGACAAACTCTTTCTTATTGGGGGAGCAGCGACAGGAAACATTCACCTAATCAGCTGCGGCAGGGACGGACTGAGCCTGGTGGGTACGCTCTGCGGAGGACACGCTGCCACTGTGCGCTCCTTCTGCTGGAACCTGACAGATGAGTCTCTGCTGACGGGTGGCGAGGATGCTCAGCTGTTGCTATGGAAACCCGGAGCTGTGGAAAGGTCCATCGCAAAGAAAGCATCTATGAAGATCGCTTCTTCTGTGCAGAAGAGAGTAAGAGTTCACAACAGCTCCCTCAAAAGCAGGAAAAAGTAAAATTCTGAAAGTGGGAATCTCTGCTGTGTAGAGTTTTCCTGTGTAATCTCTCAGGCAATACTTGGCTCTGCTTTATTTGGCGGTAAAGAACTGCCTGCAGTGCTCGAATTCTACCTAAGAATGTATTTCAGTCATCAGAAGAATGCCTTTTTTTTTTTTTAAGTTGTTAATATTAATCAGGAAAGAGTAAATGTTTGCTCTTGAGTTCTTGAACAACAGATCTTAAATCATATTACATAAAAATGTTTCTGTGGTTGTTTAATGTCTCAACCAACATTTTTAATGTGTAATAGGCCTGTGGCTTGCCTAATTTGTTACCTTCCCACTGAAATTCCATGGCATGTTTTAAAAGCTCTTGTATTTCATGCTGTATTTTGCTTTCTTTTCAGAGAACTTAATGAAATTGCTCAATATATTAAAAGATTTAATGTCACATCTTAATGCCTGAGGGAATTACTTCTTGATGAAACAGAAAATCAGTCCTTTTCGCACTGTCCTATCACTGATTATAACAAGCTCATAAAGAAGCAGTTGATAGAGCCGTATTTTTCATAGCAAAGATATGAATGTATTCAACCAAACAGGAACACGTAATCCCAAGCAGCTCATTTTTAAGTGTACAGGAATTGTTAAACTGGTGTTATTTAGGTCATATTTCCTGCATGAAAATACCCAAGAATCTTGCAAGCAGCTTCATTCTCTCCTGGTAAGTGCACCTCAGGGGGTGCACCTGGAAGACTGGGGGGATCTTCAGTAGGTCAAGGAAATTGATAAATATAACTACACCAGTGGTGCTGAAAATCCCAAATCCTGCTTTTGAAATAAGCTAGTATCACATTCCGAGTGGGAACGTTAAAAACCAAAAATGAACGCTGCCTTCTGAGACTGCAGCTATGGAATAACAGACCAATATGAGGAGACTTAAACAAAACTTTTTGGAGGTTCATGCATGTCCTTTAAGAAATGTCTCTCTCTGCAGGGAAGGTTTTCTGCTTAGCCATCTCTCTAGGGCAGCTTTGTTTCAGTATTCCATCAAATACCTATTAAGTGGTGCAAAAATTGCCCTGTACTGAAATGGTTGAGTCTTTACGCTTATTCTGCTCCGCTGGCAGACTACTATCTGCGCATCTGGCTCTGCACACACAATTACCTTCAGCCTTCTGAGGACCGTTGCAGTCAAATGGTGGTCGGTAATTATGCCGTAGTTAACGTATGCGGACTACGACTGAAAACAGCACAAGAGTATTTAAGAATTGCTTTGTGACAGAAGAGCTGGCAAAGGAATTGTGAGGGGTTGGGTTTATTTTATTGTGTGAGGGTGGATAGGTAATTCCTTCAAAACAAGTTTTGAATGTCAAGTTTAGAGGATTAACCTGGGGTTCAGAAACGGTTTCCAAAGCACGGAGGATACCTGTAGTATCTGGTTACAGCTATGCTGAAGGTGTCTCGCTCCTCTCTGAAACAAATGCTATTCAACCAGAAGTCTCAGATTTCCGCATGATATGTTTACAAACTGTCAATGTCCTTCAGCTACAGCTGCGCATCCGTAGTTGTTTTGGGTCTGCCTGTTGGTGAAAATTAAGATGATTCACTTGTTTTTGTTACTGTTGATTATTTAACAGTTCAATTTAAAGTTCAGCTTCAATTTAAAAATCACATTACTCTAAATTTTTTCTTATTACTTGTGTTAAATTCAAGTTAGGCCCAACATCTGTTGCTTTTCAGATGACTTTGTGCTATTTTGAGACAACTTGGGCAGCAAGTGTCATGGCTATGATGCACCTGGATCACGGGCCCTTTCCAGATTTATTCTCTAAGAAGTCATTAGTTATTGCCTGTTTCTGTGGAATTCACAGTTTTGTAACTGAGTTGACCAAAAGCTCTGAATTCCCCGTAATATCCTCGCAGGCCTGACTTGGTTAAGTACCAGTAGTTGCAGGTGGCAAACTAAAGGATTATTCTGAGACCTATTTCATTGCAACTATGACGTGTAACTTGCTTTTTAGGTGTTCATCCGCTCTGTTCCTGGTATCCTGACACTCTTGGTGGAGTAAGGCCTGTCTGAAATCGGATTTCTTAAAGACAGTTGCGTTTGCTGCGTACAGAAACGGTGGTGAGGGAGCTTTTGCTTCCCGCCGCTTGCTTTCGCGTGTCTGCTGAGCAAGATTCTGATGTGCTCTGCCAACGCTCTCTGGATTAAAGCAGCAGAGGTGGGAGTTTTGGTACTGAAGGGTTTGAAGTATTCAACCTGCATCTCTTATCTTGTTTCTGAATTTGACTGATACATAACAAATCAATATCCACCACAGTTAAAGCCATGCTTTTCCCTGAAAAGTTGGTTTCTTTCTTTTATGTACATAATTTAAACAACAATGGGAGGGGAAAAATGTATGTGTGTGTCTTAAAATTCTGCAAAAGCGCAGCAGCTGTCAGGAGACTCAGGCTTCTGTTGTCTCTGAAAATACTCGATTTTTTTCTTTTTTATTTTTTCTTTTGTGTTGACTTAATTTCAGGTTAATATCCATAAAATAAACATAGATGGAAACCACATGTTAACGAATAATTAGCATTGCTTACTTTTGGAAACTGCAAATACTATTTCATAGACCACAGAGCACATGCAAAATAGGAATGTAATCATGTAAATAGTCATAGACTTGAGATGAGGCAGGTTAACTTGTCTGACTGTATTTAATCTCTTAGGGTAGTTCTGATGTCTGTAAGTTGTCTTCAACATTGTTAAGAAACATATTTGACCTTTATAAAACTTATGTAATTGAAACTCTGTGCAAGTAGCAGGCATTCAGAAATCATCGCCATGTGAATTGTTTAACCCCAGGGGAAGCTTTAATTCTGGAAGCAGTAGCAGATTTTTTCCAGTAAACGCCAAGTAAAAATCCAGATCGAGACTACCTAAGTGCAGAAAACAGTGTCCATCTTAATTCAGAGATGATAGTAAACCCGTTGTACAGTCTGTCTGAGCAGCAGGAGAATATCCTGCTGTGAACATGTGAATATAAACTTACTTGCATTTGGCACATTTCTAATTTTCCTCTGTTTCTTTTTCTTTTCTAAGTAAAACCCAACGCTTGCACGCTCACCATTGTTCTGTTTAAGGTGTGCTCCCATGGCATCCAAGCTTCCTGCCTCTTGTACTGTTCTACTATTTCATCTTGTCCGAGTTAAGAGACGTATCATGATGACATCCCATAGTCGGTGCGAAATTTCAACAGTTATTTCAGCAGAGTGTAGGATTTTACCCTATTTACTTTGGGATTGTGGTGGAAATTATTTGACAAATCTAAATAAAGATGTGAATTAATTTCTGGGCGGAACTTAGTTAATCAGATGTCAGTCGTAAGCAACCCAAACCATTCTATGATTTTGTGGCCAAATTGTATATATGGCACGTATCCTGTGTATTCAGATGGCCATAACTGCGTATCTGCAGTAATATCTTAATTAGCAAAGATGCTGATGCAGTAAAACATTTTAAAGACATAAAGTGCCAGCTTTATACTGTGTTTTTGAATGACTGCTTTCTCTCGGCCAGCGATCTTATGTAGCCCCGTAGGTCATACTATTACATGAAGAGATATATTTTGTCATGTGAAGTGCTGACTCGAAAATGGGCTTTTAAAGGCATCAGAAACTGGGCACCTACACGCTTACGCAGATGCCCCTGGCGCTGCGTGATGAGGCACTGTCCGTCGGGATGAAGCCCAGCCATGGGCTATGGGGGTTCCCTACAGATGGAATCAATGGCGGTGTCAGTTTTTCAGCAAAGCTTTTGTACTCCTGAAAGAATTGACGCTTCTGGTCCACCTCATAAAGCTCGTCTGCGTTTGCCGTGGTTAATTTGGAATTACTGCTCTCCATCCCTTTGAAATTACTTCTGGTTTTTGTTGCCTTCATCTCTCTTTTGGGGGCAATGATGAGTTGTGTCTTGGTGTCTGCTTTTCTGGAGGGGGATGAGTCCTCTCCTCTCCTCTTGCTGCTGGACTCAGCCCTTCTTACTACACCAGGCGGGTGGGAAGCAGAGAGAGGGAGGAGGAAAGGGAGGTTGGCCCCTGCCAACCCTCTGACAGCAAGGTCTGTCCAGGGAAGCTCCTTGACCACAGTCAGACCCTCTACCTTGGAAATTCCTGTAATGGCTTATTCTTACATCTGATGGAGGCAGGATGGGACCTTAAATCAATTATGCAAGACATAAACACCCTTCGAGCATAAAAGCCAGTTCCTGTTTGTCTGTGAGGTGAACAATTTGGCAGCGAAGCGTGCAAGAGAGGCAAAAGGTGTTTGCTCAGAGGGGCTGGGTATTCGTAACTTCTGCTAGCCTTGAGGAGAGCCGCTGGTCAGGCCAGTACGGCCACCTCTGCCCTGCAGGAGCCAGGGGATTTGGGGATTTCACGTGCCGTGCAAAAACGGAAGGCCAAGCTAAGCGTGGAGGTGACAGCTGAAGGTAGCGACTCCGTCTGTGAACTTGGAGCTATCTGTTAGTGCTCCGTTCCTCGGTTTCTCATCAGAATGACTTGTAGATAACCTAACAGCCAATTGTCAGGATCATTGTAACTTCTTGTTTTCTGTTTCCTTTTTCCATACCAGTTTGTAAACTGGCACAGGTGTGTTGGCTGTTGGGAGCGGAGTGGGGTTAACTGCAGGTACCGCCGCTGCCTGCTTGGCCTCAGCTTGCTGTCATGGTCGTCTGTCCTACTCAGATTTCAGCACATACATTTCTTCAAGCCTTGCGTCCTGTGCCTTTAGATACTTTGAAATCTGTATTTTGAAAGTGTATCTAGTTTTCTGTAAACTAAATGACAGAAAATACTATTCCATATACTCCTGCTGCAATCTTGGCACCAATATTTTTATGGGAATATATTACATTTTCAATTCAATGTCAATTTGAGTCTTATCCTTTCATGCTCTGAATAAAGATTTGATTCTGCCAAAAACCCGTAAAGGTGGTACTTGAGCAGCCCGTTGCCACAGGAGCTCAG